TCCACTGGTGGAACCTCTTCTAACCGGTTCGGTAGATTTGACGAACTGGTTCTACCGAACTGGTGCGAACCGGTAGGAACCCACCTCTGTTATACACATTTCGGCAAATCCCACTCCTGGCTTACCCCACCTACCCCGTCCCTCCCAGGAGTCTCCACATGGCCCATTTTGGATGCCAGGTAAGTGCAGGGCCCGCACGGAGGCTCAGGGAGGGCAAAAAGGGCCACCTAGAGGCTCTGGAAGGACCCATTTCCAGCCTCCAGGAAGACTCCGGAGCCTGGGAAGGATGAAAACGCACCCCCCCCCCAGAGGTGGGTTGCTCCCGGATTGGCCTGGATCGGCCGAACTGGTAGTAGTGGCGATGGGAGGCTCTGGCCAACTGCCCAGATGCTTCTGTGCATGCACAAGTGGGCAAACACACAGGTGAGTACGGAGCGAACCGGTAGCGCTGGAATTTGAAACCCACCTCTGCGGGGGGGGAGGCGCCTGGTGCAGGAGGTCAACTTGGCCATGCCAACCATGGCCACGCCCATTCAGCAACTGGGCAGATAACCTATTGCTAAAAATTTTGAAGCCTGCACCTGACTTAATCTGTGTGGATGAGAATAGGGGGAACATAGCTAGATGGCCAGAAGTAGGAAACAAAGACCTTGATAAAGCCCATCACTGACATCTAGCAGCTGTCCAATTTTTTTGCCCTCCGGAGTGGCTCCCTGATCCAACTCAACTGCTAAAATCTTTGGTCATTCAGCAAATTCAGATGGATGATGCATTTCTGATGGATACCACTTTATAACTATTTAGGGCATTGTCTCATTCAATGTGTCCAGAACTGTTTTCTGACAATATTGTTATAAACTAAAACTAAGGAGAAATTTCCTGTCAGTGAGAACAATTGGTCAAAGGAACAACAGCTTGCCTTCAGAAGTTGTGGGTGCTCCACAGAGGTGGATTCAGCATCCTGTCGCAACTGGTACACTGCGATGGGGTCGGGCATCCTCGGTGGGCACGTGCGGTGTGCACTCATGTGCATGCCACCGCTCTGTGGCACTCAGCTGCTCGGCAGAGGTCGTGCAGGCGCCGTATGCTGTGTGCACATGCGCAATTGGCCCCATTTCCCTCAAAAAGCAGTAAGGAATGCGGGTGGGGGGCCAAATGAGCCACCATTCTGGTACGGTGGCTGCTGCTCCCAGCTACCACCGGTCCTCCCGTACTGGGGCGTACCACCCGGAACCCACCATTGGTGCTCCATCACCAGAAGTTTTTAAGAAGAGCCTGAGCAGCCATTTGTTCGAAATAGTATAGGGTATCCTGCTTGAGCAGAGAGTTGAATTAGAAGACCTCCAAGGTCCCTTCCAACTATATTATCCTGTTGGTATTCATTGTTGCAATGTACTTTTATGCAACAACTGCAGTAATATTTAGGCAGTAGATGGCAGTGTTTACAAGTTTGGATCTATGGTATATACTGGATGCTCTTTTGTTCTAAGTAGAGTTTCCAGTTTCTTGTTGCAGTAATACAGTTGAGCAGTAAAGCACATGGTGACTGTGCTCTTTGTTTGCTCTGCATGGTGCTTTATCTAAACAGAATTTCTAACAGTACCTCTTGCCGATTGATGTGGAAAACAACTTTGTTTTCTTCCAGGCCTTTGTGATTGCAGTAACTTCGGATTTTATTCCACGCCTTGTCTACCAATATGTGTACAGTCACAACGGGACCATGCACGGCTTCATCAATCACACCCTGTCATACTTCAACGTCAGCGACTTTAAGCCTGGAACCCAGCCAGAAAACTCACCATTTGAAGAGGAGGTTTCATTCTGCAGGTAAAGCAGGTGCCTTTCATTTTTGTTGTGCCTGTCAAACCTCTGGTGAGATCAATCCAGCTGCAGATGTTCAGACCGTCAAACAAGGGAGTCATTATACTGCTAGTCAAAGAAGGCAGATTTAGAAACCAAAGTTTTTGTGGTCTTGTTTTGATACAGGTACTGTAAGTCCTCGATCACAATTGAGCGCAAAATGTCCTTTGCTAACAGTTGTTCAGTGAGTTTTGCCCCATCGTACAACCTTTCTTGCCACAGTTGTTAAATGAATCACTGCAATTGTTAAATTAGTAGCACGGTCGTTAAGTGAATCAGTTTTCCCTCTTGACTTTGCTTGTCAGAAGGTCACAAAAGGGGATGGCGTGAACTTGGGACACTGCAACCATCATAAAGATGAACCAGGCATCCAAAGTTTCACGCAACTATGGGGGACGTTGCAATGCTGTACGCCTAATAAGTCACTTTTTTGAGTGCCATTAATTCAAAACAAACCGTTGTAAGTCAAGAACTATATGTACCCCAAAGTAGGGGTTACCAACCTTTCAGACCTCGGGGACCACTAAATTTATAATTTTAAATCCCGCGGACCACTAATATGAATTAGTGGCAGGATGGGGGTCCTTCAGGCACTTAGCTTGGCTGCCTGTTAGCGAAGAGAAGCCCTCAGCGTCAATCCTAGATTTGTTGTCCATTGAAGCTAGGAATCTAAAATACGGCCAAGAATGAATGTAGCCAGCCCGGCTGCTTGATCAGCCCCCTGCCAACACTTTCTTTCAAGGAGCCTGGCCAAAGTTTCACACACTGTTCACTGAAGTACATGGATTCCCATGGAGGGAGGGATGCAGTGGTGGGTTTCAAAAATTGTTCGAACCTACTCTGTGGGTGTGGCCTCCTTTGTGGGAGTGGCTTGCTGCCCATGTGACCGGATGGGAGTGGCTTGCCGCCCATGTGACCGGATATGAAGATGCCGACGACACTTGTCAGAACCACCTTAAATTACCTCACAAACAGCACTGGCATGCATAAGAATTTGATGTAAATGTGTTTTTTAAAAGGCATCTTTGGTT